AATATAAGAGATACGGGAAGGTTAGTATATTTTTTCATTATATATATATATATTTTTTCTTTTTTTTTTATTTTATGATTTTTGGTTTTTTCTTTCTTTTATTTACTTTATTCTTATTTCTTTAGGAACGGTCTCTTCTTTCAGAACTGCAGTTTCGGTGGATTTCTAAGAATGCAAGATAGATGGGAGGTTAGTATATTTTTCGTTTATTTTCATTTTTTTTATTTATTTTTTTCTTTACTCACCTTATTTTTATTTCTTTAGGAACGATCTCTTCTTTCGGAACGGCAGTTTCAGTGGATTTCTAAGAATGCAAGATAGACGGGAGATTAGTATATTTTTCGTTTATTTTCATTTTTTTTTTATTTATTTTTTTCTTTATTCACCTTATTTTTATTTCTTTAGGAACGGTCTCTTCTTTCGGAATAGCAGTTTCGATGGATTTCTAAGAATGCAAGATAGACGGGAGGTTAGTATATTTTTCGTTTATTTTCATTTTTTTTATTTATTTTTTTCTTTACTCACCTTATTTTTATTTCTTTAGGAATGATCTCTTCTTTCGGAATGGCAGTTTCAGTGGATTTCTAAGAATGCAAGATAGACGGGAGGTTAGTATATTTTTCGTTTATTTTCATTTTTTTTTATTTATTTTTTTCTTTACTCACCTTATTTTTATTTCTTTAGGAACGGTCTCTTCTTTCAGAACAGCAGTTTCAGTGGATTTCTAAGAATGCAAGATAGACGGGAGGTTAGTATATTTTTCGTTTACTTTCATTTTTTTTATTTATTTTTTTCTTTACTCACTTTATTCTTATTCTTTAGGAACGTCTCTTCTTTTGAAACGGTGATGATCAGAAATAGAGGTAAATGAGGAGCGGTGTGTGCGGATGTGTTTATTAATTAAGAAACTCTTTAATGTTTCTTTTTGGACCACTAAAGTTCGGTCTTTAATTATTAAAAAAATTATTTTTTTACGGAAATACTTTAGGAATCGTCACCTGGACTTGAATTCGTGAAAGGGTAAGTTAACCATATGGTCCTTTTGTTATAGGAACGTCACTAACGTTCCTTTTTTTTCCTTTAGGAACTGGCATTCGGGATTTTTTTTTAACAATTGCTCTGCATTTCTTTATTAGTCTCTGTAATTCCGCACCTTCCATATCAGCTCTGAACTACCTTCCTTCAGTGAAGCATCCATCACCGTTTCCTTTAACGAACAGTTTCTAACATTGGGATTCTTCTGGTAGGTAATTTTTTTTCATAAATTACTTTATTTTAACGAACTCTATTAAAGGTTCATTTTTCTCTTTTAGATTTGCCATTTTATTTCTTCGTATTCGTCATTAACTTTTGATTTTCTTTTTTTTTGTAGATTTGGCTTCTTTTTAGGTTTTGGTGACCCCTTCAGTGTTATCTTTCTTTTTAGGTTTTGGTATTTCCTTTTTTATGTTTCAATGTCTCTTTTATGGAAATTAAGGTGGGTTTTTTCTATTGTTTGTTGGTTTTTTTTGTTGTCTTTGGTTTGGTACTAAACTATTAAACTTTCTTTTTTAAGTTTTGTTTTCGTTTCACACTTCAAACGCATGGGATTTTGGTGAGAAATCGGACAATGTTTATATTTCTATATATTTCTTTAAAGTAACGTATACTAACATTTTTATTTTTTCTTTTTTTAAAAGACTGAGTCTTTAGACATCCCGAATGATCCTTACGTCATGTATACAAATCCTCAAGGCAAAATTACTAAGGCGTTGAATATTGCTTGTCACAAATCTTTGTTTAACAAAAATTATCTTCTACATATCATTATATGTATTTTGGGATCAACGGGTCCAATATATGGAGAAATTAAAAGGATTGGGGACACGCAATTGGGTGTTCCAACTCAATGTATTTTACTCAAACGATTAGCGAGAAAAATTGGAATCGATCAAATTTGTTCAAACATCTTTTTGAAAGTGAACGCAAAATTAGGTGGACAAAATGTAATATTAACCAATGATCAAATTGATTTTGTATCTTTAGAACCGACAGTGATATTTGGTGCTGACGTTTTCCATTCTGGAAGAGGTGATAATAGGCCAAGTATTTCAGCTGTATGTGTCTCATTGGATTCAAAAGCTACTAGATACGGAAGATTTAGTGTTAATAAGGATCCTCAAAATGAAATTATTGAAGATATCAAAGGAATAGTAATCGATTTACTTTGTGTTTTTTATCAAAGAAATTAAGTTTTACTGAGAAAAATTTTGTTTTATCGTGATCGGTGAGTTTGGCAATTTTTTCTTGATTTTTATTTTGACAAGCATTTTCTAACTGTTCTTTTTTTTTTTAGACGGTTCTTAAATTCTTTGGACGAGGAACTTTGGTGGGAGTATTATTTTTTTGTCTTATTCCATCTTTATTTCGTCTTTTAAAAACGGTTGCTAATTTCTTTTTTTCCTTTTTTTTTAGGCAGCTCAGACACGGATCTTGGTGAAATTGACTCTTAGTTAGATGCTTGCATGAGATAGGTAAGTTTCGAAAAAAAAGGAATTCGAAACTTTATAGAAAGAGGTTTTTTTTAATTTATTTCCTTTTTTTTGTAGAGAAGTTGGCTCCAGCTTGGAAACCAAAATCCCAAGTATAGTTTCAAAAAAAGGAATTCGAAACTTTAGAAAAAAGATTTTTTTAGCTTTTTTTTAGTATAGATTAATATCGATACAAAATAGATTTAATATAGATTTAGATAGTTGATACAATGAAGCTGTATTATAACTTTGAGTAAACTGTAATATTACTTTAAATAAACAATATATTTACATTAAATAAACTACATTTTTGCAATATATTTACATTAAATAAACTACATTTTTGCATTGTATTTGTTACATGGACTCTCGAAATTATTCACAGTATTTTTATATTCGCTCCATATGGATACCCTACGTTAAATATAAAATAGCGATACGCCTACTACTTTTTTATAATATATATAGCGGCTACATATCTACTACACAGTCCCGATTTCGCAAGTTTCAGTAAAGTTAAGATTGTGAGAAAGTGAACCAAATAGTTGAGTGATTACTTGTTTCTATCACTTGAAAATTTATATTATGTATAGAAAAAAAAGTAATGATGAAAATGATGAAATATTGAAAAATTATTCTCATCTTTAGAATGGATTATTGGGAAAAGGTGTATGAATTTAAATATTCAAATGATCAAAATGATGGCAAAAATATATCAGGCTTCTCTTACTCATATTCAAAAATTACTCAATTATAGAATACTTTAGATATCATTTACGTTGAATTAAGAGCATTATTCCTTTGTACTCGGCACCTTGACCATTCTTCTAGAAATTTAATAATAGAAGATATAATTAGTAAATTATTTCTACATTTTGCTAAGAAGAAAGAAAACAAACAAAAAACTGGTTTTATGGGCAAACGTTTTTGAAAAGTTTTTGATGGATGGATTTTGAATCACAAGTCGGAGTTACCTTCCTGGACTGTATCATTTTTTTGCATATAAATATGCAGGTAAAAGTTACAAGCATTTTTTGGAATAATGCTTCTATTGAAGAAAAAGACAGTTTATAAAAAATTGTTTAAACGTGTGCATGAAATTCAGAAAGAATTATATTCTCAAAAATGATCTTACTAGAATAGAATTATTACTGGTACATTATGATTATTATTTTTAAAGTAANTTTTTCTCCTGTACCAGGTTCATTACATTCTCCACATATTCCATATACTTGTTTTCTTTTTTCTAAATCTTCCATATAAACTATTCTTTCATCTGTATCTTCTGATTCAGTAGTTGAATCAATAGTAGAAATCATAACATGAAGCTTTTAATGTACAAAAAATTATTACAATTTTAACTATAAAAATTCAATATTACTATAATTATTAATAATAAATGTGAATTTATAATACCTGGTATTCATCACCATCAACATGTTTCCATAAATTCTTTGGCTTATTTTCCATACTAATTAGTTTGAATTATAAGAATTATAATTTTATATATGCAAGTAATTTAATCAAACTAAATTTTAGAATTATAATACGTAAAAAAAAAGTTAAAACGAACGGGTTGGTCGCGATTATAAATATACACAATTTGTACTACAGTTACATTAATATGCAGAGAAATAGTGTTTGGAATCATGTAACAGTTATTCGAATAACTCGAGTATATTCGAGTATTCGAATAAGCATAGTGGTTATTCGAGTATTCATTTAGCCAGATATAGTATAGTTAAAATTCTAATTGAGCATTAAATCCTTAAATTTAACTGAGTTAAAATCATAATTCAGGCTAAAAATTATGTAAATCATTATTATAAAAGGAAATTTAACTTATTCGAATATTATTCAAATACACTTTATAAATTTAAATGAATACTCGAGTATATTCAAATATATTCGATTCCAAACACTACAGAGAAATAATATTAAACTTAATATAGCAATTTATAAAGATACTGATCATCACACAAAAAGTTCAATCAATTTGAATAAGATCAACTCGTAATGGCTATATTTAATAAACCTAATTTTGATACGTTACTCGTTATTTTGTTACACTTAATTTCCAGACTTCTAGATAGAGCTTATAAATTTGATGTACCTTATAAATAGTATTTAATTATTGTAGAATTAATTCAAACACAATATTGCTTAAATTCTGTATTGAAAATGCAAAAAGCCAAAGATATTTCACTTGAAACAGTCAAAATGATCACATGAGTAACATATGCTCGTAATTGAAAATACTTGGAAGTTCCGGGTCTGATTGAACTGATGTTCTAGAAGAATCATAGAAAATGCCGTGTAACTAACTCATTAGCTATATTTTCATAAGGATGCACCTACTTTTTTCAAACAAGCGTAAGTTCAGGAGTTGCTACATGACAAATTCTAAATTTATTATCCAAATTAATATTCCATAATAAGTGCTCGTGAATATAGTAAAAATTTTATGGCGTCTAAGTTAAATTTTTATGACTTAATTAATTAATTTATTTTATATATTATATGCTTTACTTGATACAAGGTTCTATAGAATCTCAATGAATATATTCTTGGTAAATTAATATTATAAAAAATATCAAAACATTACATTCATAAATTAAAGAGGTGATTTTATTTTTAGAAAAATTAATATTTGATAACATATATTCTCTAAGAGAATTTAAAAATTTTTTTTCTATTTTCAAATATCGTGGATTGCATGATATCTAAAAAAAAGTTCTTTTTTAATTAAAAGATTCAATATTAAACATAAAATACATGTATATTTACTGTATATACACATATACCGTATATAACCGAAGAAATCCAAACCCAACGAAAAATATATAATACAAAAAAAAAGAAAAAATAATAACGTGAAGATAAAACAAAACTCCCACCCATAAAAGTAAAGAAAAAAAGATAATAAAAAAAAAAGAATAATATAATATAAATATATATAAGTACATTAATATAAATTAAAATAAATAATTGTTTTTTATCTAGAAATATATTTTTTTTTTATAAATTGGGTAATTTTGATAAAGTTTTTATTCTAAGAAGAGGTGATACGGGACGTTTAAATAACCATTCACGTTTTTCCATTGAATCCGATAATCTTTTTCTTTCATCAGCACTCAAATGATCAATTAATATCAGGTTTATTCCAAGAAGCTTTAGCGGCTGCTGCTGCTATAGGACTCATTACAGTAGTAGTAGTTGATACTGTAGTACTAGAGTATGTGTGGTTGAGGTAGTTACTATTGTAGTAGAAGTTGCATCAAATGCTTCTCTACTTACACTCACACTACTATGATTTCTTTTTGTCATAATTGTTCGATGTGATCCATCAGAATTTTCTTCAGCAATTAAACCCATTGAACTTTCAAATGATTTTTGATGTTTAATATGACCTGAAATTCTTCTTACACCTAAATTACTTGAAGAATCATTACCATTAATACTAGTATTCGTTCCTCAATATTATTGGTATTTGTTGCTGCCATTGTGTTTGTTACAGGTGGAGTTGAAGAAACAAAGAATAACGTCAATATAGAAGTAGTTGTTAACGTGCCACCACCACCTCCTCCCATCAAAGATTCATCATCATATCCATTCTTCTTTTATCGTCTTTTCTTGATGCATTCACTAGTGTAAATCTACTCGTCATTGATGTGTTTAAGTGTTTTGTTTTCGATTTTATTGCTCTAAAATAAAATAATGATTATCAATTGTTATTATTGTTGATATAAGTAAGTTAATATAATAGCATGATAAGTAACTTGCTTGCAAAATTGAATCAAATTTTGTAATATTGGTATTGTAAAATCCATACGATTACGTCATATTATAATTAAATAATGTACGTGATACGTGAAATACCTATTAATGAATGACATTATTAAAAATACTGCCATAATTATTACTAATGAGGAAATTGCCAAACACAACCAGGAAGAAAGAAGTAATGAAATTTTGTATTTCCGTTAAAAAATAAAAATAAAAAAATTTTCTTTTTAGTACGATATTACTTAAAATTAACGTGTATTCACTTACATAAATTGCGGCACGTCTTTAAAGTTGAAATATTCCGTTGCATATCAGAAGTATTACGAACAGTTTCTTTAAGTTTTAATGCTTTACTAATGTGATTCCATATTATAATAAAAATAATTTATACTAATTATAAATCAAAATTATTAATCACCCATATTACCCAAATTAAATTATGTATTCTGAATTGAATTCGCTTTATCTAAATCATTGATATCTACATAATGTCCTGTTATCCATGCGAATGGAAATAATGTTGATATTGGCGATATCAATAATAAAAAATCTATTATATCTACTATATATCTATTTTGTGGACTTTTATTATTACTTTTATTTGTATGTTCATTCTTTGATTATTTTATTGGAGTTGTATAAGCTAATAAGAAAAAAAAGAAAGAAGAGATTAAGAAAGATTAAAAACAGAAAAAAATTTTTTTTCTCATTTTTTAATATGACTTACTTATAGTATATATTAACGCTAATCCTGACTAATCGATCGATCAAAAAAAAAAAAAAAAATGATTTCAGCCATAGTATAACTTGGATACGCGTCAAAAAATACGTCTAATATATAAATCACAGGATGACGACAAGCTCTCATGGGGCTATAGTAACGTACCACCAATTCTTTAACAATGGGAGACAATGGTGTGAGCTGAATAGTCCCGGAAAGAGGCCAGGCTATATTTTCAGCGTATGGCCTCTGAGGAACCTATATTTGACCGGGTTTAAAAACGCAATCTTCATTTATTTGGTGGAGATATTGAAGTACAAAAATTAAGAAAAATGATCAATTACTGCACCTTACAAGTCACTTTTTTTTCATTTACACAAATTAGTAAATATGATTGGATGACTTCTTGAAGTTTTGCTCTTAAATAACCACTTTCTTATTGTTGAAGATAACCGGAAAGATCATTTCAATTATAATTTCCACAATATAAAAATCCTATCGCTGTTATAAATATGTACAGTACAGTATAGCGTATCAATATCCAATGTAATCTTTACATCCTCTAAGTAGTATTAACTAACGATGATATTAATATAATATTCGTTAAATTTTTTCGTTTCTTTTTTTTGATATCGTAAAGTTTTGAATATCCGGACTATGTTAAAAAAAACAATAATATTAGGGGAATAATTTATTTTTTATATATTAGCGTTAGTAGTTAATAAACGAAATTCAGAAAAAAAAAAGAAAATTTAGGGTTAAAAAAAATAAATAAAAATTAAAAGTTACCTGATACCTTTATTATGCTTAATACAAAGCAAAAGTGGTGAAATGATTCGAATGAAAAGTAATTGTTATTTCGCAAACGATGATAATAAAAATACAAATAAAGTATATTCTTCAAGTTTCGCGAGGATGGGTTTATCGTCAATTTATTACAAGAAATCAAAATGTGAGAAAAATGATGATCTCACTTATATAACCTGTAGAATATCATGTGATTCATTGTAAATAACTTTTTTAGGAAAAGTTAGAAGGTTGTTCAAAATTTTTTAGGAATCCGAAAAATCCGAAAGATAGTCAGTAAATTTTTTTATTAGTGAGTAGTGACGTCACTTTTCAAATGTGGGTTTAAAATCAGCCATAAAATTAATATTAGAACAAATGAAAATTTTTAAATTCTTTAGTTCCAACTTTTTTTGAACTAATTAATTTTAAACTCTTATTGAACGCTTATCATCATTGGAAATATAAGATAATGTATGATTGTGATCATATATATCATAGGATCGCTCTGTTACAGAAAGATTTATTATCTAAAAAAATAAAAATGGAACTTCCTATCGATTTTGTTCAGTTTTAAAGTTATTCTTAAAAATCTTCTAGGCTTAGATTACCAGTTTTTTATAGTCTATCTTCTGATTAAGTAATTAAGCTTTTAAAATATCAACGTTAAAGTACTCATAAATTTTCTGGATTGTCTTTCTTTTTCTTTTCTTTTCTTTTCTTTTTTTTTGATATTTTGGATAGTATATAACTTTCGAAATATCGACTGTTACTTGTATTAAGAATATGCAAAGGTTTTTAAAAATTATGGGTTATCATAATTTTTTAATATTGAAATGTAATAAGATACATTGTTTATGACCATGCATATAAATAAATACTTTAATTTCTTTTTATATAAATAATTTTAATCATATTAATTACAAAACATATCAAAAATACTATCTTCGCTTTATCAGAACTTTGTTTAGATTGTATAAAATTATTTGAAAAATACTGTTGGACGTTTCGGTTCTTTGTAAATTTAATGTTAAAAATATATGACGCGCGATTAAAATATTATTGTAATTATCCCCTGATCGACACCATTTACACGTTTATGCAAATATAGTTATACCTACTGGGTAGCAAATTTTATATGTATTTATTTATCCGTTCCTAGGAGATTTTGCACTAAAATTAGCTACTATTTTATACTATTGATTATACTATTGATTATACTATTGATTATACTATTATTTATGCTACAATAACAAGTTATTTATTAAAATAACAAATTATAATAAAAATTATTCTTTTGTAATATTAATGGTAATATTAGCACATTTAATGAATTTAAGCTTAAAATTTTCAGCCAATTCTAAGTTTTTATCTTTACGTTTCAGAGGAATTGAAATATTTTGAATTTCAGAGAGTATTTTTCTTGAAGATGAGTGAAATTCATTATTAGAGTCAACTTTATTTATATTTTCTTCATCACTGTCTTCGTGCACATACCCTGCAATATTGTCGCTAACCTTTTCTGTATCCTATTAATATAATAAATATTATGTAAATTAAAAAAGAAATTATAAATATATTAGAAAAAGAAAAATACCTTGTGTACGCCTGGAAGTGTTAGTTTCGCAACTTCTAATTTTTGAATTTCATTTTGTGAACGATACCTAAAAATACAGTGTGATTATAAAAGTTAAATAAATAAAAAATTATTATGAATTGGAAAAATAAGATACTTACAAATTTAACCATGCTAAAAATTTATGCAATGTTACATTCATAATAGCCTGAGGATCCAACCCTTCATCATTTAATTTTTGGGCAGTACGTTTTCGTAAGGAATGATTTACGACTCTTCTATTTGTACAATCAATACTAGTAATGGTGCAAATTTCTTTTAGCATTCTGGATAGTTTATCTCGACCCATATGCTGTGAAGAATACCACTTTCCCAGTTTAATATCTAATAATATAGATTAATAAGCAATTAAAAATTAATTACATTAATAACATATCTCAATAAAAATAATATTACCTTCAGGATCTTTATTAACATGAAGAAAAAAATTTTTTTCAGCATTTTTTGGTCGTAAATTAAGATATTTTTTAATATCATAACATGCACCACATTCTTTAGATTCATCTGGAGGAATAATATGTGTAGGTGTTTGATTAGAGGTTGGTAGATGATAATAGCCCCCCTGATGGGTTTTATAATGAATAATAATAATATCAAAGCCTCCATCATCACGTTCCTTAAAATGTTCAGCCATAAGATTATAATACGACCCTCCTCTTTGCGATGTACAACATCCTACCCATAGAAAAACTCTTTTAAGTAATCCATCTGGCGTTTCATTTGACATGTTAGGATGCTCAAAGATCTTGACCATTTCATCATCTGTAAGAGCATCAGCACCATTATATTTACCATTGTTAATATCTTCAAGCTCAATCATTCTAGTATGTAATGTATCACGAACTGCCCCAAATTCAAAGTCTTCATGTATGTTAAATGGCTCTTTATCTTTAAACAATTCTTGGTAACATCTATTTATGGCACAAATTCCATTGTATAGAGAATTTGCTTTATAATCCTTTTTTTCTCTTGTTTTAATAATTACAATAAATTCGCATAACAACATTGCAATAACCTTCTTATCATAAAGAGTTAATAAATAATAAATCAATATCTGGTTGTGTGTCATTCACAAATTCCTCAAATCTGGAGAACCATAATCTAGTATTTTTCTTGGTATTTTCAGGTTTTGCTTTAGTGACATATCTTTGTAGAGTTTTTAAAGAAGGACGTTCATATGATTCTTTGGGAATAGATGGCTTTGAAATTTCGTGTATATTAGAAATATTTACATTCTGCAAATGAGTAAAATTTTCTTTTAATTTATCTGTAACGTCAATATTATTTTTTGAGTGTAATAGTTCTGAAGCTTTTTTAAAATTTTGACTCATTTTTTAAAATGGAAAAATAGAAAATAGCGGTGAAAGAAATTAGGATGCAACAATAAACTATATTTTATAATTACTGATTAACACGTGATATACTACAATAAAACAAATTTTTAATATTGTGTAAATGGCAGGGGATAAATCAATTATATCCTGGCTAATTGGAATAGTAAAATTTTACTTTAGAATCGGAACATGATCAGCCTATCGGCTGATCATTTATCCGATCCTAGTAAAATTTTACTTATTCCTAATTAGCCAGGATATAACTAATACTTACACACAAAATCGATTCGAGTGGATAATTAATTAGTTCTAAGGACATTAGTTGTAAAATGCATTTTATAATATCCTTTGATCATATAATAATTGAATAAAATCTTTTTCTTTGAATGAGACTTAATTTAAATATTAGTATTTATTTAAAATTCAAATATAAGTCAAACTATAATAGACATTTTCAGTTTTCATAATAAAATTCAAAAAAAAAAATAGTATAACATAAAACTCTTTTCTATTTTTCAATTAAAATACTTAGCATCATATGATATCTGTCTTCCAGTTTTTGGGATAAATAAATTAATACATACAACGCTTTTTTTTTGGTGACCCCATCCAAATCACTTGATTGCAGTCATCGCTGTATGTACTGTATAAATACATGTAAAAAAAGTCATGTTATAAAGAAATTGCGTACCAAAATGACGAGTTAGAATTTATTAATTTATTATTTCCTTATTATACTTGTTTTTATGTTTCACTTCAGTGGTATTATGAAGTGACTTCCTTTAATTTAATTTGTTAAAGTTAAAACCATCAATGAGATAATTTTAAAGGATTATAAGATGTAAATAATTAATAAAAAAAAATTGTTCTCCTCATAATTACGGCGAAATGACTTTCGACGAAATGTCCTGATACCGGCTAAAAGACATGCATGGCTTTTGGCTAAAACCTTATCTTTTCGGATTTCCGCCGGCATTAAACGGTTCATCGATTAAACCCTTCTAAATCGAATATCATAAAATATTTATCACGTAATGATTATCGATGTACACAATAATCATATTGAAATTCAACTCATTAAGTATTTGCGATTAGCGATACATTTATAACATACATAGAGCAATAGCTACAAGATATTTGCGATTTTACCATTGTAAATTAAACAACAATTATCAAATAAGTATAAAGAATTTAAGCCCTTTATTAAAATGAAAACGTAATTTCTAAATAAATACAACCGATAAGTCAGTATATACTGAATATATGTAAAAAAAAGTAAACAAAGGTATAAAATATAAAAATAGAAATAAAAGGTTCATTTCAACTGTTCAACGTGCTCTTCAACTTTCAATATTATTTTCACCGTCTTGACAAATTTCATTAAGTTCTATAAAAATAGGTAAATAAATCAGATAAGAAATATTAATGAAGTTATAAATAAATAAAAACTTACCTGATTCACTTAATTGAACATCAAAACATTCTGAAACTGTAAATTTAATAAAATGTATTTGACCGTTAATAAATATGAACGCAATAATCATAGTAACGATAATTAAAAGAAATACTTGCTTGGATTCGCTAATGTTGATTGAATAGCATACTTAGCATCTATTTGGAAAAAAAGAATAAAATTAATAATGTAAATGGTTTTTCATAACAAAGGTAAATAAGTTAATTTACCTGAATTAAATTGAAGAGATGATAAATCTGAAGAATTTACTGGTTTTGGAAGATTTTTAAAATTTAAAAGTCTACTAGTATAAATTGCTTGTGGATGTGTTTGAATATTTTTGGATTTATCTTTGCTTGATCTGCTTTCAAATTTTCTTTTTCCAATTTCATTACATTCTTTTAATTGAGAATATAATTCACTATTTTCATTATCCCTTTCAATATAATATTTTTTTAATGTTTGATATAATTCTTTGGCCGTTGGTCTATTTTCTATTCCTGCATCCCAACATTTAACAATCAAGTCTGCAAGTAATTTTGGCACATCTTCAGAAATTTTTGGTCTTTGTCCTTTACATATTTTAACAGCTAAAAATTCATCATGAGAAGTATCACCATAAGGAATTTCTTCAGAAAGAAACTCATTCATTATTATGCCAAATGAGTAAATATCTGCTGCTTTTGTATATTGATGTCCACGTAAAACTTCTGGTGCCATATATGGTAATACTCCATAAATTCCTTCTTCTTTAACTGGTTTCTTATTTGCTGGTTGACACATTCCTAAATCACTTATAAACATACCTCCACTTTCCAATATATTACCTGAATGAAAATCTTTATGAACTTTCTCAACAATGTGAATATCTAAAAGTCCTCTTGCAATTTCCTGTAATTTATAAATTTTTTTTTTACAATCTATATATTCTTCAGATTTATTCAAATAATTTCTCAAATTCCCTTTATTACAGTAAAATAAAACCATCATATACTCTTTAGTATTTGGATTTTGAGTTATTCCATAACATGGAACAACATCATTAAGATGAATCTGAAGATGAGATTTAATCTAATTGATAAAAAGAAATTTTGCTAATAATTAGACATAAAGAATATTAAATATAAATAAACTAAATTCAAATTACCTCATTTAAAAAATCTGAACTTATATTAGAAGAATTATTCAAACTTTTCAATGCATATTTATCCCAACATCTTCTGTGCCATTTTTGATTTTCAATATCCCAATATTCAATATGTCCTTCAGGCCATTTAGCTGAATATATTTTACCAAAACCACCTTCTGCAATATAAGTAATATCTTGAAATTTTTCAAAAGGTATCCATTCAAGATATTTTTTATAATATACAGAATTAAGTTGTGATTGTTGTATAAATTCATCAATATCTTTATTTCCACTAGTCCAATTTTTAAAGTTATCTTTAAATCTTTTAGCATTACAAGGTTGACACCATTTTTCTCCTGTACCAGGTTCATTACATTCTCCACATATTCCATATACTTGTTTTCTTTTTTCTAAATCTTCCATATAAACTATTCTTTCATCTGCATCTTCTAATTCAGTAGTTGAATCAATAGTAGAAATAGTAACATGAAACTTTTAATGTTCAAAAAATTATTACAATTTTAACTATAAAAATTCAATATTACTATAATTATTAATAATAAATGTGAATTTATAATACCTGATATTTATCAGTAATAATATTCTTCCATAACCACTTTGGCTTATTTTCCATACTAATTAGTTTGAATTATAAGAATTATAATTTTATATATGCAAGTAATTTATTCAAACTAAATTTTAGAATTATAATAAGTAAAAAAAAAGTTAAAACGAACGCGAGTATAAATATGCACAATTTGTACTACAGTTACATTAAGCTTAAACTGTTACAATTTTTTTATGCAGAGAAAAAAAATGGTATTAGACTTAATATAGCAATTTATAAAGATACTGATCACAAAAAAATTTATATTGTTCAACTTTTTTTTCAATCAATTCAACTCGTAATGGCTATATTTAATAAATCTAATTTTGATACGTTACTCATTATTTTGTTACACTTAATTTCCAGGTTTGCCAATTCTCTAGATAGAAAAATGATGAGCTTATAAATTTGATGTACCTTATAAATAGTATTTAATTATTGTAGAATTAATTCAAACATAATATTTGCTGATATTTCTTTACATTCTAAATTGCAAAGACAAAAAGCCAAAGATATTTCACTTGAAACAGTCAAATGAACGCATAATTAACATATGCTCGCAATTTGAAAATGCTTGGAAATTCTCGGGTCTGATTGAACTTACTTTTTTTTTTCAAACAAGCGTAAAAGTTCAAATGATTTTCAGGAGTTGCTACATTACAATGACTTGCTATATTTTAAATTTATTATCCAAATTAACATTCCATAATAAGTGCTTGTAAATATAGTAAAAATTTATGGCGTCTAAGTTAAATTTTTATAACTTAATTAATTGATTTATTTTATATATTATATGCTGTACTTGATAATACAAGCTTCTATAGAATCTCAATGAGTATATTCTTGGTAAATTAATATGATAAAAAATATTAAAACATTACATTCATAAATTAAAGAGGTGATTTTATTTTTAAAAAATTAATATTTGATAACATATATGAATTTAACAATTTTTTTCTATTTTCAAATATCGTGGATTGCATGATATCTAACAAAAAAGTTCTTTTTAATTAAAAGATTCAATATTAAACATAAAATACATGTGTATATATACACATATACCGTATATAACCGAAGAAATCCAAAAATATATAATACAAAAAAAAATAAATAAATAAATAACGTGAAGAAAGAACAAAATTCCCACCCATAAAAATAAAGAAAAAAAAGATAATAAAAAAAAAGAATAATATAATATATATATATAAGTACATTAATATAAATTAAAATAAATAATTGTTTTTTATCTAGAAATATATTATTTTTTTATAAATTAGGTAATTTTGATAAAGTTTTTCTTCTAAGAAGAGGTGATACGGGACGTTTAGTTAACCATTCACGTTTTTCCATTGAATCTGAAAATCCTTTTCTTTCATCAGCACTCAAATGATCATTGATATCAGGTTTATTCCAAGAAGCTTTAGCGGCTGCTGCTGCTATAGGACTTATTACAGTAGTAGTAGTTGATACTGTAATACTAGAAGTATATGTGGTTGAGGTAGTTACTATTGTAGTAGAAGTTGCATCAGATGCTTCTCTACTTACACTCGCACTACTATGATTTCTTTTTGTCATAATTGTTCGATGTGATCCATCAGAATTTTCTTCAGCAATTAAACCCATTGAACTTTCAAATGATTTTTGATGTTTAATATGACCTGAAATTCTTCTTACACCTAAATTACTTGAAGAATCATTACCATTAATACTAGTATTCGTTCCTACACTTATTCTTATACTACTACTACTTTTACTTATTCTTTTTATTCCCGTATTTTCTCCGCTAATTCGTTTACCATTATTAACATTATTAAAAACAGTACTATTTAAATCAATTTCATCACTAGTTTGTTCATCCGAAAATATGAATACAGGTCTTTTAATAGAATTTCTACTATAATAATCATTTTTTGGTGTTAAAAAGGATGGATATATTGAATTACCCTCTTCGATATTTGAATTTTCTCCAAAATTAATAGGTGATAAAATTTGTGAACTAGATCTTGTTAAAGATCTTCTTGAATTTAACCTTTTATACGCTTCATTACGATTTATTTCAATACTAGACTTATTTTGTAAAATATTATTTGTCATTGAATTCATTGCAGCTGCATTCAATCCATTTGAATTAGAATGATTAAAATAATCATTATTATTTGTATTTGTTGATGCCATTGTGGTTGTGGTCATATTTGTGTTTGTATTTGTTACTGGTGGAGTTGAAGAAACAAATGGTGACGTTAATGGGGTCGAAGTAGTTGTTAACGTGCCACCACCACCACCTCCTATTAAAGATTCATCATCACGTGAAAAATCATCCATCCTTCTTTTATCATCTTTCCTTGCTGCATTCGCTAATGCAAATCTACTCGTCATTGATGTGTTTGAGTGTTCTGTTTTCGGTTTTATTGCTCTAAAAAAATTAATTTTAATAAATGATTATTGTTGTTGTTGTTAAGAATTAATTGTGATGAGCGTGATAAATAAACTTACTTGTATATGAAAAAAAATTGAACCAAATTTTGTAATATTGGTATTGTAAAATTCCATACGATTACATATGTAATATTCATATTATAATTGAATAATGTACTTGATAGGTGAAAATAACCATAAGTGAATGACATTATTAAAAATATTGTCATAATAATTACTAATGAAGAAATTGCCAAACACAACTAGAAAAGAAAGAAGTAATGAAATTTTAAAAAAAAAAAAAAAAAAAAGAAAAAAAAAAATTTAATTAATTAATTAATTAATGTTTTTTTTTATTTAAAAATTATTGAATTGATTCACTCACTTTCTGCCATAGTAAAATTTGGATACGCATCAAATAATACCATTAATATATGAATTACGTGAACTACAAAAAAAAAAAGAAAATGATTGATTAGTTACGAATTTACGACACTATGCACACTTTTTCACACTATCTCACACTTTTACACACACTTTCCATATTTTCCATACTTTCCACATTTCCAATTTCACTTACATAAATTAAATATTATGTAGTGGTATGAATAACTTCTTGAGGTTTAGGTCTTAATAGCCTCTTTCTCTTGTTGAAGATAACCAAAAGAATTGCTTTATTATATAATTTCTATAATATAAAAATCCTATCGCTATCACCATAATTATTATACAATATGGTACTAATATCCAATGTAATGTTCTTAATAAATTTTCTTCTTCACATCCTCTAAGTATTAACTAATGATGATGATATTAATATAGTATTCGTGTTTCTTTTTGATATTGTAAAGTTTTTACAGATTAAAGAATATCCGGACTATCTCCGTTAAAAAAAATAATAATAATGAATTTTTTAGGGGAATAATTTATTTTTTATATATTAGCGTTAGTACATTAAATAATCGAATTCAAAAAAAAAGAAAATTCAGGATCCAAAAAAAAATAAATAAAAATTAAAATCTACCTACCTTTATTATGCTTAATACAAAGCAAAATGTGGTGAAATTATTGAATGAACGGTAGATGGTATTTCGTAAACGATGATAATAAAGATGCAAAATAAAGTATATTCTTCAAGAATGGGTTTATCGCCAATTTACAAGAAATCAAAAATGTGAGAAGCATGGTGATCTTGCTTATATAACCTGTAGAGTATCATGTGATTCATTGCAAGTAACTTTTTTAGGAATCCGACAGGTAAATTAAAACTTTTCATCGCTAGTGAGTAGTGACGCCACTTTTCGAATGTGGATTTAAAAACAGCCATTTTATAAAATAAAATTTATATAATTATAATGTGATTACAAAAAGTTTTTGCAATAAAAGATCTAATACCTAACTTAAATATTATGATAATACTAGAACAAATGAAAATTTTTAATTACACAATTAATTCTTTAATTCCAACTTTCTTTAAACTAATTAATTTTAAACTCTTATTGAACGGTTATCATGGAAATGTAAGATATGTATGTTCAGTTGGACGACACCAAGATCACAACACAAATCCCGTTGAAATAAAATCCCGAGTCACAAATTCTGACAGTTAAAAATCTAGTCAGTTAAAATCCCAAAGGTTTTTTTTTTTTAAAAAAAAAAAATTATATAAATTTTCCAATTAAGCATATAATTTAAAAGTGCTGTGACGCAGTAACGGGTTAACTAATATAATTTGTAAATTTTAATTAAAAGAAAAAATTTTTTATCTTGGTTAAAAGGATTATGTACAGTATATTACTAGATTACTAAACTATTCCTTATCTTCTAAAATTAGAAATAATTACAGTAAAAAATTAACTAATCTCAAATTCGTCTGATCGAATCTCATCAGGATTCTCAAACTAAAAATCAATTTTCTAAAACTAAAAACTAAAAGGACTCACGGTTTCAGCTTCCCTATTATATAAATAAATTAATACAAATTAAATAAATTATCTAGAAATATTTTATTTTTTACATAAATTTGATGGTTTTTCTTCTAAGAAGAGTGATACAGGACGTTTAGTAACCATTTTTCCATTGAACTTGATAATCTTTTTCTTTCATCTACACTCAAATATCAGGTTTATTCCAAGAAGCTTTAGCGGCTGTTGCTGCTGCCATGGGAACTTATTATAGTATTAGCAGTCGATACTGTAGTACTAGCAGTATATGTGGTTAAAGTAGTTAATTGTAGTAGAAGTTGCATCAGATGCTTCTCTACTTACGCTTGCGCTACAATGATTTTCTTTTTGTCGTGATCCATCAAAATTTTTTTATATAAAATCATGTGATAATCCAATTTTTATGTGACGTAACAAAATTAAAAACTTGAAAAATCTCAAAAACAACTGAAGTTTTCTAATCAACCCTGCTTCCGCTTCTTCTTACTATCAGAAATAATTTTTTTCTTTAAATTAACCACATTTTGCATACCCAAACTATAAATACCTAAATAATTTTGCCGAACATATTATTATAAAAAGATCAAAAAAAAAAAAAAAAAAAAATGATCCGGTCACAAAAAAAAAGAATATCTGTATCACGTGAAATCAATTTAATTGGTTTTATAGCTGGTTAAAAAATTGATCCGTTATAGTTCATTCACTTCATTGAGGAGGTTGGGTTTATACGCGTATGGTGGATAAAGTAGTTTTCCTTTTGTAAGGGCTTAGCCCACAGACCTGTATGGCTTCCGTCATTGTCTACATTTATAAAATTGATTCCGGTATATCGAAACTATAGGCCCAAATCCGGTTTATATCGAGATCCGGTTTATCGAATTTCACTGTGTAATCTCAAATGATTTTGATGTTTAATATGTCTTTTTATACCTAAATTACTTGAAGAATCAATAATTATTTAGAGGATGGATACCCACTTCCGGTTCTTCGGTATTTGAATTTCTTCAATAGTAATATGTATTAAAATTTATGAACTAGATCTCAATAAAGATCTTATTGACCTTTTATAAGGTATTGAGTAAAATAGGACCGTAACCGTAACGCAAATTAGTACGTACGTGTGTTTTTTTTTTCGTACGTACATTTACAGCTAATCAATTTTTTTATACTAGTACGTGTACGTACAAAAGTTTTAAAATTTTCGTACTAATTTAAGTTTTCGTACAATCGTACGACTTTGCATTTTTGTATTTTTGTGCAGCCTCGAATATTGTTTTTAACAAAATATCTTACTAATTATAAAATTAAATGTTAAATTATAAAATTAAAAATATTCTTTGAAGAAAAGCTAATAAATTTTCATTCCTTTAATATATTTCAGCTCCATAATAATAAAACTGACCATTAAATAATAACTAAATTTTATTGGTTTATTTATAATTAATTTTATCATATTTTATTTTATATATAAATTAGACCACCATATTTAGCATTTACAAAATATAATTTTTGGTATTATGTGGCGCATTATTAGCAAATTAATTACAAAAAAATTTGTACAAGAAAAGTCATATTTTTTAATATAAAAACCTGTTCAAATTCAGGATTTACTAGCTCAAATGGATAATCTTGGATATATTATAAATATTCATATTTTCAATTATTTTTCTTCTTCAAAGAAGTATAAAATTAAAAGAGATATTTACGATAACAGAACTTTAAAATCATTATATTACAAATTTATAAATTAATCAGAATCACAATTCAAATATTGTGTGCAACATATTCATCTCAAAAATTTGATCACATGAAAAAAAATCAATTAAAGGTCCGTCTGAGTACGGAAAAATTTAAATTTTTTTTTTTTAAACGTCCGTACTAATTTGTATTACCATACAGTACTAATTTACTATATACTCCTTTTATACGTATAAACTTGTAGGTTTATAATGTCATAAAATTTTTATTATATATATTTTTTAAAAATCTCTTTAGTTCCTACATTTTACAAATTTTTAGTATCAGGTCTTGGGTTATTACATTTTTGATCTAATAAAACTAATCTTCTAATGAGTAAAAGCGGTTAAAAAAAACAACTCAGTACTTTTAATACAGTATATCAAAACAAAGTCTTTTACTGGAATACTATGATTAATATAACTTATTTATTCATTTAATCCTTTTATTAATTTTTTTTCTTGATAATAAAATCAATATACAGTAATATTATATATCAATACAAAAAAAAATATACATATATATATACATACAGTATTTTTAACCAATTTTTTCTATTTCCTCTTCAATAAATGATTTTTCCTCATCACTTTCAGTACTTGATCCAACTTTTTTCTTGTCCTTTTCTTTTTCTCCTTTTTCTGCTGGACTTGATTCATCATCAAATTCATCAAATTCATCACTTTCAAATATCACTTCACTAGAGGGTACACTTAATCCATTATTACCTAAATCAGCATTATTATCTTCTCTATCAGTTTCATATCCAGTATTTCCTGTATTCCCACTTTTATGAATATTTGATGCTCTTCTAGTACGTGGTGTTGATTGAAAAAAGAAATTAAAAAGTTGATTTAATCTCCATACTGTATTAAATACAAGCACAATAGATGTTATTAATAGAGTAAGAAATGGAACTAGATCAAGTTTTAATGTCTTTTGTTGATAAATTAACTAAAATAATTAAATAGTAAGATGTTATTATAATAAAAGAATATAATATAAAAAAAGAAAAGAGATATTTTTTTAATACGTACAACAATAATAAATTGAGGAATTTCTTTTTTAATTAGAGCAAATAAACCAACCCAAAATATCCACGTACGCGTACGTTTAGCAAAAGGTGCGCTTAAACTTGGTTTACTTCCAATTTTTGAAGTTAATATCATCAACGAATAAACATCAACTGCTGATAATAACATGAATAACATAGTGATCGAAAAATGTTTTTTAAGCCATCCTCTAAATTTTTCTGAAGTAATAATTTCTCTAATTATTAAAAATAATGATACCGTTTCTTTTAACGATGTTGATAATATAACAATTGTTAAGCTAAATAGAAAATATAATTAACTTTAATTGTAATTTTTTTAACATATACACTCATACTAAAAAAATTTGACAAACCTTGTTTCGTAAAGTCCTGCCACCGCTTTTGAATATCGTAATGTAAAAATAACGAATAATAAATAACTTACGAATCCCATAGAAAATTTGAATACGGATGACGTTTCAGCCTATGACGAAAAAAAAATAAACTTTTAAATTTAATGATTTATATTAATCTACAGAATATTTCATCTATACCTTTGGATTCCTACGTTGTTCGATAAAACACAATAAAGTAAATAATAAAATCCCCACAATGAATAAAATAATGATAAATAAATATTTATCCCAAAAGTTTTCTACGATGAAGGAAAAAAGTTATTAATAAAAATATAATGAAATATAAAAAAACAATACGATTTATTTTACCAGGTTTAACAAGTCCATAATTACTATCCATCAGATAAGTATATTTCATATATGCCAATGGACCCATATCACGATGTATTATAAAAGAATTCAAATCTTCAATAATATTAATTACATTCATTTCCGAAATATTTGTTGATGAAATTATTTCTAAAGGTAAAATGACTTGTATTTCTTCGGTAGTTGGATCACGTTGATATTGATACCTAGGAACTAATCGTGATGGAGTAACAGGTAAAATTGTTGCTAATTCATTCCCAAGTTCATTAACAAATTCTATTTTTTCTGTTGCGTTTAGAGATTCGTAAAGTATTGATCCAGCGGCTGTTAATCGAAATAAGGCAACGGAAGATTCTAAAAAAAAAGAAAAAGATCAATGCGCCGGAGGTCATAAATAACTTAGAGCCCTTAAAAAAAAAAATTTTTTATTATTTATTATTGCATTTACCGACAAAAATATTTGGTACGGTTTGTTCTTAATAATAAATAAAAATTGTTAAATAAAAGCAACTTTTCATAATTCAAAGTAATATTTAAACAAACATTCAACTTACCAGTCTTAAAGACCCAAACATTTGCTTCAATTCCTTTTACAGCTTCACCATTTTCATTTATTTTTACAAAATTGTCATCAATTATTACAAAATAATCTGTTAATGGTTGATTAAATGTGCTTGTAAAAATTTTTATCGTTATTGTCTTACGATTTTCACTTAAAATACAATGTCCTGATTGTCCAGAATATACTTGTCGTAAATATATTGGGTCCGTTGATATAGAATTCGAATGAATAAAAACGCTAACATTCCCAGAAGAAAGTTGAACTGGATCTTTATATTGTATAAGAATCTGAGAAGTTCTTATTGGTATTGTTCCGTTTATTACTGGTAGTGTTAGATTTAATTGTGGATTATAATATCCTTTATCTAAAGATAATAATAAAAAGTTAAAAAATAATAAAAAAAGGTTATGATACAACATTAAATAAAATTTAACATACCATTTGCTATAGGGATTTTAGGAAGTTCTGTTGTATTTAAAAACCAATTGGTCGCGTTTATTTGCGCCGCACCAATAATTTTTTTATCCGGAAGAATATAAGATGGTCCTTTGGAATTTAAAAAAAAAGGCTGCGGTAAAGGCCTTTATTTTTTTGAGATTTAATCAAAAAGTTATTTGGGTCGTACTAAAAAAATTACATTTTCGATCATTTCATACCAATAATCTTGAAAATCTTCTGTAGAATTAAGAATATAACCATAAATTAATTTTCTATTTCGATCTCTGGCTGTTAAAAGATAACTTGTAAAATAAATTTAAAAAATTTAATTTTTTTTTCCTTCGCTGCGCCACTCGTTTAATAATAAAAATCTCACCCCCCAAAAAGCAACGGATATATTTTTATATCATTTGAATTATGAACATAGTTCGCTGGTTTAGTTTCAACGTTTGTTAAATTTCTAATTTCAAGAGATTCGTGAGTTACTATATTTTTTTTTTCATTTTTTAAAGGATCAAATACAAGAAAAAAATAATATATATACCCAGATGTGAGAAAAGATAATCTCAAGATAAATGCATTCGCCATATTACTTCCACCAGAAAAATAAAATTGACAAATATTTCCACTTCCCTTATAATCAATATTACAATTTAAAGTGATAATATTCGAAAAAGATTTTAATTTTCTTGAATATATCAAATTAGATGATGATGTTCGATTACTTTGAGTAGGAATCAAAATTGTTTCTACGCGTAACGGTTCTTGCTTTTTACTTGAAAATCTTGCTATGACCAAACAATAATTTCCTTCTGCATTAAGAAATCCGGAAGTTAACGTATTTAAACTGTCTTTATACATAATTATTCCCGAATTGATATTAGACATGGTTAGACTATTTATTGTATAAAAAAGAAAAGGATGTATTAGAAAATTATTAAGTAATTTTAGTAATTTTAATTTAATTTTAATTAAGATTTATAACATACGGGTTAGTAAAGTAATTCCAGATAACGGATCCAGTGTTTTTCATGATATCAACATATAAAAAGCCGACATTTCTTGATTTCTTTGAAAAATAAATTTTCCCAGGCGGTTGTACAATTCCTTTCTTATTCACAGAAGCGGCACTTAAGTACGTATTGCTAATTAATTATAAACGTTTAAAACATCACATCATATCTTAGTAATATCAAAATTTTTCAATATAAATATTCACGATATTATAACAAACCTAATAAAGTTACTATTCCAATCAAATAAAAGTCCGTATATACTTGCATCAATAGGATTACTTGAATTTACATAAGTTGCAAAAATATAATTTTCTAATAAAGGATAAACATTAATGTAATAATAAACAATTCCTTTAATTATCGATTCACAAAAATTAAATGCAGGTATTTGTGTAGCTGAGACATTAATTGATGTTAATGTTTCGTTAATATGTATAAGTCGAAAATATAAAATTGGAGTAGAACAATTTTCTCGATTAGGATTAATCATGTGAATCAATATGGTCCCATCTTGATATGAATTTATATTATGAATCCGTAGACTGGTTGGTTCACTAAAATTTAATATTTTACAGTAATATACAACTGGGAATAAAGTTAAAATGAATATTACGAGTAAAACTTTCTTTGCGCACATTGCGCGAATTTCATTGTCAAATAAAAAAGAAATTTAATTAAGTGGAATTTTAAATTTTCAAAATAATATAAAAACATTCTTTTTGTTTATTCGTAATTTAACAAATTGACGTGGCAAGTTTAATTTAATAAAGATAAAAAAAACCAAAAAAAAAATATTTTGGAGGCACGTAAACAAGCCTCTCACTTATAATCGAATCTTGCGCCTCTTTTATTATTCGTTGTTCTTTAATAATTTGAATAACCATGAATTTACCGAAATAATAAAATAATTAAAGAACAAATAATAAGAAAAAAAAATAAAAATTAATTATTTCAACTTTCTAATGAGCAAATACTCAAAATTTTAAACTATACTTAGGTTAAAATATAGAATAGAAAGAGTAATTATTAAATTTTTGAATTGGCTGTGCTAACTGCTAAATTAAATGTGGCTTATTTACTTTTTTGATTACGTGATTGTTTATTCGTAATGTTCTATACTGACGTACAAATTATATTTAGAATCGAAACATATTTTGCTTATTACGGTATTAAAATTTTCAAGATTTATTTATAAACGATTTATCCCATTTTTGCTTCATTCCATACAAAACCAAGTATAACACATATCATTCCTATAAACGAATAAATAAATAAATAAACGTTATTTTAATAAAAAAATGAAAATTATATATTAACAACTTACCTATATACATATGCCATTGTTTTCTGATAACAAACCAAAATTTCATTTCCTGTTCTGAATTATTCAAATCAAAAGTTGTAATGTCCCCATTTTCATATAAACTTACTTGATAATTAAATAAAATAAAATAAAATTAATAAACGCAAACAAATATGAACTAAATTTGTTGAGAATTTTCCCCATTTAACTAACGCTCATTATAATAAAATATACTTACATAGTACATTTCCATTGTTTTGAAATCCGGAAACATTCAATATTTTCACTGCAATAACATCCTTTATAAGAAATAGTTGATGGTAAGTGATTTATTATAAAGAACTTCATAAGATTGCTTGAATAAAATTAAGCTTACCAGCTCCGATTGACCCAAAATGTCCAAATCTGTTGAAGGTATAACCATCCTTAATTCCCAGTTATCTTCGGTCTGTCTATTTTGTCTATTATCAGCATCAATTAACCCTGTAAACCAACCTTTCTTCGTTTGAGCCGATGGGGGTGAGACATTTACATTGGCATCCCCTCTCTTATAAATTAAAACGTAATTCTCCTTTATGTAACAAAAATATATTAATATAAGACATATAAGAGTATTTTAAAAAATAAATGTCATTTACCTGAGTTACTAGTGCCAGCAAATTACCATTAGCATTAATTTCAGTCCCTACAACTTGAAATGGCGACTCTTCAAGTGAAGGCAGAAATTCGCTTCTAACTATAAATGCCTCAGTTGAATGTGTATCTTGTTGATTAGAATCTGTTGTTGTTGTTGTATTACTATAATCAAATGTAAATAAAATATTGTTCAATCCAATACATATTGTTGTAACATTTTTTGCTGTAACTAAATTTAAGTTGATAAAATATATGTTAGTATAAAATCTTTTCATTTATAAATAAGAAAATAATATTTTTAATTACTTACCTACAACAGGCTTTGGAACAGTGATCGGAGTAAAAGTAATTCCACGTACAAAATCAAATTGTTCATATTCGAATTTTTTAGGTGATGTTGGACGCTCATACTGTATAAAAAAGAAAAGAGATCATCGTCAAATACTTTTTTTAAAAAAATTTCATACCGCCAATTTAAATTTAATTACCGCAATTAATTTCTTAGAACGCCAACGAAATCTCTTATCAGTTTCCTCAGATGACGATGAATTATGAATGACTGACACCTGGAATTTCCATGTCTCATCAGTCGCTGTAACTTCAACATTTAATACACGAATCACTCCTGACCTTAAATATAAAAATAAGTATTAAAAATTATGTGTTAAACAAGCAAATAAATAAAATTAAAATATATATTAACTCACACAGCGTAAACGCGTCGAAAAGTTGAGGTCTTTTTGGTAACGGGATCTAATCGTCCAACTTCTGAAAAATATAAAGAAATTATATTTAAGCAAACATATTATACAAAGGAATATAAATCTATTATACAAACTTTGTATCGGTCCTGGATCACTAGATTTTAGTGTTAACGCATCAGTCTTGCTCTTTGAAATATCAAAAATATTTTCAGGTATTAATATTGTTCTAAATTTAGCATCATCTGGACTCCTGTAATTTACTCATAAATTAGATTCAATTTGATATAAAATTTATAAACAAAACATTTAAATACCTTGAATATAATATAATTGAACCATCCACATGAAATGATTTAATACTGGTTGTTCCTGGCAATATTATATCTTGATATTTAAAGGATGGCTTTATATGACAGGTACGTGGTGATATTTGGCAATTATCTAATATATTGTTGCTAATTTCATCTTCATAATTTCCTATATGATAAAGCCGTATTATATATTTAATATCCTCTTTTCCATGCGATTGGTACAAAATTGCCAATGCATTATTTTCATTATATTCCGTGTTTGATGGTGTTGACCCATCGTTGTAATAGAAACTAGATATATGTGTTATGGGACCTTCAAGTCGATGATTATAAAGAAGTTGCCAACCTTTAAGAAAATAAAGCATTAATTACAAAATTCTAAAAAAAAATCATTTTAAAACCCACTTACTATTTCTTGGGTCATAATTGTCACGTAATAATAAATGTAAGGGTCTCCTATATTGTCTGATCAATCCTGTAAAAATTACGAATATATTTATTAAAATTTGATAATTAAAATAAATAAAATAACTCTTATTAAAAACCCATACCTGTCGCATCTTCATAATTTGCTTCGTGTTCTTTCCATATTGCCGTTAAATAAACCCAGTCTTTTTGCACTGATATAAATATTCCGTTCGGTTTAACACTTTCGAATAAATCTTCTCGTGATACCATAATATTCTTAGGATATGGATAAGGTGCAGAATGTAAAGATATTATCAAATATACAAAAGTAATTCCAGCTGCTAGCATAATTAATGGTCTATATTGTGCCGTCATTTTTTAATAAAAATTTACAAAAATGCCTAATTTGTTGAAGAAAGAGAAAAAAAATGATAGTCGTAAAATGAAAAAACCGTGTAATAAATCTCTATAAATAAATTATTTTAAATATTGCGAACTCTAAGACTATAAATAAATCTATTAAATAAAAAGGAATATTGTATTTGAGGAAGAAAAAAAAAAAAGTTTTCCTAAAATGACTATTTATACTTTTTTTGGGAAGGAAATGATTTGATGGATGCGTCCAAAATAAGGCTAAATAAAGCCTATATTTGGAAACGACTACTTTTTTTCGGAAATGCCACGAAATTGTCAATTTAATTTTGGATCGAATTAATTCTCAAGTCTCAACTTTGATTCATCGTCCTTATTTTTGTTCTTGAAACATGATACAGATGATCAAATCAAAAATATTTACAATAAAAACTATTGTTATATTCATCATCTGACTCTTTAAATAAGAAAATCCATCTAAATTTGGATATATTAGATCATTTGTTAAAAAAACTATAAAATGGATGCGATTTGAACTTTATTTATTCAAGGTTCATCGAATCTATCGCTAATTAAATAATGACTTTACCCCACACGAGACTAGTTCGAGGCATTACTGTCGATCGTTGTGAAAAATTTATTTCGCGAAATTATTATTCGGACGTAAACTTACGTTCACAACTTTACAAGGATCGCGAAGATTCTAAGGATTACATTAAACTTCATGTATATTCAGTTCCACATTTGAAACGTATCACCTTTAAAGAAGCTGTAAAAGGCGAATATAAAAAAGCTGAACGTGGCGACCATTTTGGTCCGAGTTGGGTATGTAAACGAACATTATAGCTGAATGGGAAACAGTAACCGTTTTCATTGTAGTTTCTTTGCTTTGCTTTTAGTCAACACACTGGTTTCATATATCCGTTAAAATTCCTGAGTATTGGAAAAATGAAGAAGTACAGTTTCTATGGGATGCTGATAATGAAGGAATGATATGGACTGTAGAAGGAGTTCCTCTTCAGGGTCTCACTGGTGGCTGTAAGTGATAAGTAGTTTAGGTCAAACAAAATTTTTTAGCTCGAATTTATATTTCATTTGTAAATTAGATGGGGATGATCGTAGAGCAGAATATGTTCTTACGCGTAACTGTAAGGGTGGAGAAAAATTCGAGTTTTATTTAGAAATGGCTTGTAACGGTAATGAAACTGTATTTATTATTTTTATTTTAAATTGGATTTGATACTTATTATAATGTTCTTATTATAGGCATGTTCGGTAATGGAAGTAATACGATAAATCCTCCAGATCCAAACAGAACATTTCGTTTAAATACAGTGGAATTGGTAGTTCCTAATAAAGATGCATGGGGTCTATTTTATGACTTTCAAATCATACTTGATTCGGCTAAAGAAATTCCTAATGATACCGTACGATCAGCTCAAGCACTTTATATTGCTAATAATATAGTCAATGTTTTTAAACCAGGAGACAATAAGACAGTTATTGAAGGGCGTAAAATTGCTCAAGAATTTTTGAAAAACAAAAATGGAAGTACGCAACATAAATTAACCGCTGTTGGACACTGTCATATTGATACCGCTTGGTTATGGTAAGTGAGATGTAAAAAAAAAAATTGTAGTAAGTAAACGAGTAAACGATACAATTAACATTTTTATAATTATGTAAAGGCCATTTGATGAAACTAAACGTAAAGTTGCTAGAAGCTGGTCAACTCAAGTTGGATTGATGGATATATATCCAGACTTTAAATTTGTATGCTCTCAAGCTCAACAGTTTGAATGGTTACAAGAATATTATCCACAGCTGTTCGAGAAAGTCAAAGAAAAGGCCGATAAAGGCCAATTCTTGCCAATTGGCGGAGTATGTATTATATAATTTTGATAGGAAAAAGAATAGAATTTAAGAATTATTCGTTAAATTTCTTTTTATTATAGACGTGGGTTGAAATGGATTGTAACCTTCCAAGCGGTGAATCATTTTGCAGACAGTTTTTATATGGGTAATTAATTTGATGATTATTATCATTATTTCATTTAAATTGCGCAATCTTTAATTTGCATACCTATATTTTTAGGCAAAGATATTTTGAGCATAATTTTGGGAAAAGGAGCTCAGTATTTTGGCTTCCAGATACCTTTGGTTATTCTGCTCAGTTGCCTCAAATCATAAAAGGTGCTGGACTTAAATACTTTTTTACTCAAAAGTTATCATGGAATAATATAAACAAGGTTCGGAAGATAATAACATCGCTTTTATAGTTGCTGAGATCTTTCGAATAATATTTTTTCATTTGATAGTTTCCCAACACAACTTTCTATTGGATTGGAATCGATGGAAGTAAGGTACTAACGCATATGTGTCCAGCTGAAAGGTAAAGTTATTCATTATTGTTGTTTTTTTTCTTTTAATAAAGAAATTCTAATTTTTCTGTAAACCGGTAGCTATGTTTCTCAATGCAAAGTAGGAGAGCTTATAAATAGCGTCAGAAACCACAAAGATAAAGAATATAGCAACGAAAGTCTTTTAGTCTTCGGAAATGGGGATGGTGGTGGTGGTCCACTTGCTTCTATGATCGAACGTTTACATCGAATGAAAGACATTGTAAATATATAATGTTTAATATTTTTGGTTTTCTTTTATCTTCATTTTTTTTTTTAATTTGATTTTTCTAACGATCAGGATGGGTTGGCTAAAGTTGAAATGGGAAGTGCTGAAGAATTTTATGAAAGACTTGAAAAAGATTCTAAAGAATTAGTAACCTGGAAGGGAGAGTTAGTAAGTAATATATGTTTATTTCTTATTATCCCTCATATTTTTTATTTATATGATTAATTTATTCTTAAATATTTAGTATTTTGAACTTCACCGAGGTACATATACTTCACATGGTCGTATCAAACGGTATAATCGCAAATCTGAACTTCTTTTACGGGATGTTGAGTTACTGTCTACGATCAATTTTATTAAATCACAAACTGAAAATAAGGGTTTCACGTAAATATATTTGAAATCTGATTTGTTTCTTTACTTTATTCCGTTTCTTGCTTCGAATTTGTGAATAGGTTGAATTTCTTACATTCTTTTGCTTTAAATCTTTTAGTTTTGATTATCCGAAGAAAGAATTAGATAAATTATGGAAATATGTCTTATTGTAAGTACTTACACTATGTATATACATATGAAATAAAGGATCTATTATTAAAATTCAAATTATATAGGAACCAATTTCATGATGTGTTGCCAGGTTCATCTATTGAAATGGTTTATGATGATGCTAATAAGGTATAAATTCTTTTTCATTGAACAAAACATACCGTCAGTATTCTTATTTCTACATTTTTTGTAGTTTTATGAAGAAGTCGAAAAAACTGGAAATACCCTTCTCGAAAAAGCCCTTGATAAATTATTTAAAATTTCCGATAGTGCTGAAAGTGCTAAAAAAGGTAGTTAATAATTAATTAACCTTATATCTTTAATTTGGTATTAACGTACATATTATTGGTTATTTAGGACTATTGGCTTTAAATACACTTGGTTGGAATAGGACCGAAGTTGTCGAAGTTCCTGTATGTGAGGGAATGGGCCAATTTCCACAACTGTCAAAGGACAAGAAATCCGGATTCGTTTTAGGTTTGTCTTAGATTCACTTTTTTTTTATTTATATTTTAGAAATACAATACTAATCCTTTATCCAACAAATAGTTAATGATGTTACTGGACTTGGAGCACAAGGAGTTGATCTAGAAATTCCCACTAATCTTACGCAAGTAACTGGTATGTATGTTCGTGTTTATTATTTATTTATATGAATTATTTACGACAATTCGTCTTTATTTTATTTTATTGTTTTCATAGCTTGTGTTATCGATGATTTGTTCTGTTTGCAAAATAAATATATTTCTGCAAAATTTGATAAACATGGACGTTTAGTAAGCTTAGTTGATCTTGATTTGAAGTTAAAGTAAGCATCAATTAACTTGTGTAGCAATAAATATGCGTATATTTTTCATATTTATATAATAATTTTTAAATTAGTCGAGAACTTATTCCCGAAGGACAACATGGAAATAAATTTAATATTTATGAAGATATAGTAAGTAATAAAAAGAAGGAAAAATTTTGGTTTTTTTGTTATTTTTTTTTATGAGCTTTAATGAAATTGTAAATTATTTTTGTTTAGCCATTATACTGGGATGGTATGTAACATAATATTTAAAATATTTTTCTTGTTTATTTTTATCATTATCTAACTATAATTTTATTTTTAATCTTTTTTTTTCTATAGCCTGGGATGGTAAGTACTTTGTGAATTAAAAAGATTTTAAAGAAAGCTATTACATTTTCATTAATATATATTAACATTTTATATCGAAACAAATAGTTGAAATTTATCACTTACAAAAAGGACATGAAGCGGGACTTGGCACTGTTAAGGTATTATATTTTGTGTTATCGATAATTGAAACTATTGAATTTTCTAATTTAATGTAATTTGTTTTTTTAGATAATTGAATCAGGGCCATTACGAGCGTCGTTATTACTTGAATCTAAAATTTCTAAAACTAGTACATTACGTCAAGTTATATCATTAACGGCAGTTTCACGAAGAATTGACTTTGATACAACAGTAGATTGGGATGAAAATAGACAATTCTTGGTAATTTTGTTCGTTATTAATCAGTAAGTTATGTGCATAATAAAATTCTAATTTGCTTATTTATTTGCATAACTTTTGCAGAAAGTAGAATTTCCATTTGATATATACAATGATTATGTAAGTGGGGTCTTTTTTTTTTAATATTATAGTGACTCTTTAATTGATCATATTCAAATCAATAATTTTCATAGGCTACTTATGAAACTCAATTTGGATTTGTACAACGTCCTACGCATTATAATACCACATGGGATTCGGCCAAATTCGAAGTGTGTGGGCACAAATTTGCTGACTTATCTGAATATGGATACGGTGTAGCGTTGTTAAATGATTGTAAATATGGCAAGTAAAATTATTTTTTATAAGAATACAAAAATAACGTATGATTATAATTTTTTATTTTTATTTTTATTTTTAAAGGATATGCAATTCATGGAAACGTGATGAGATTATCTCTATTAAGATCACCAAAGGTCTGTACTTATTTTATACATTTTTTTATTTGTTACAATGGGATCTAATTTAAATTTTGAAATATCTAGGCACCAGATGCTCATTGTGATATTGGAACTCATAAGTTTAAATATGCAATTCTTCCGCATGCTTGTTCTTTCTTGGAATCTAATGTTGTTAGAGAAGCGTATCAATTTAACGTTCCTTTAATCATCAGGTAAATTTACGCTTATTTCCATTATTTTGTTTATTATATTATTTATACTAATTTTTATTAATATTAACAGAACCACATCTAAAGAAATTGCACAAGCATATGATACCAAATCATATTTTACAATTTCTAATGCACCAAATGTTATTTTGGATACTGTCAAGCGTGCAGAAGATTCTGATGAGATTATATTGAGATTATATGAAGCTTATGGAGGTCATGCTAAAGCTACATTAACGAGGTGCGTAATTAAAGCGTTAAAGATTGCGTAATTAAAGTCTTACTAACTTGAAAAAAAAATTTGTAAAATATATAGCACACTTCCGTTAGAACATATTTACGAAACAAATATTTTAGAAGACAATACTTGTCTTGTTAATTATCATCATCAAGATGGAGCCATCATTAGTTTCAAACCATTCCAAGTTATTACATTGAAAGTGACTTTGAGGTGAGTCAAATATATTTATTTAATTTATATAGTTAGTTATTTAATAATTATATGAATACTGTCCTGATATAAATTTTTTTACCAGTAAATAATATAAATAATGATAAAATTATTATTAAATAAAGATTACATGAATTGTAAATTATGAAATGTAAGATAAATAAAGGATAAATGAAAATACCTTCTAATTTAATCGATATATAATATATATTTTTTTTTTTTTTTAAAAAAAAAAAAACAATTAATTAACATTTAACATGAAACATTAAACAACATAAACTAATATTTTTTTTTATAAACTTATTTAATATAGGGAAAAGGGATGGACCTTTCTTTAAAGATAGATACTAAGGGATAAATATATTAACCCAAGTATAACTTTAATTTATTATTATATTAGTTTTTTTTTTAGTATTATTGATTTATTATTTATACTATTATAACACTTAAAAAGAAATAAATTAAGGGGGAATATCTGATATATATTTGATCATCATTTTTAAACTTGATTTGTTATTATATGATTAATAATTTAAGATTTATTTATTTTTCCGAAAGATTAACAACGGGTAAGTTAACCTAACCTACTATTTTCGGTGAACAGCCAATTAAAATATATTGGTAATACATGTGAATTTTTTTTGTGGATTAATCGGGTAAACTTTTTTTAATTATTTGATTCCTCTGATTCCTGTATCCTGGCCACTTAATTCTCAATAGATAAACAATCAAAATTTTTATGAACTTGTGTTAATTAATAAAATTTTAGAAAACATCATTAAAAGAACCAGGTACGTATATAACTGGTTGAATAACTAATTAGCAAATAATTTTTAACCGAGTAATAAAATATGCAAACATTATAATGAATTTGATTCACAAATTTAACCTTACGGAACAGATCAACTAAAAAATATAAACGATAGGATAATCGACGCAGATCAAAAAAAAATAAATTGATTACTAATGATTTTCATTGGAGAATAATTTGAGCAGGTTTCAAAACTAACCAAATAAGTGAAAATACCTTACTTTAATCCTGCATTTAATATAAAAGTATATATATATTTTTTCTCCCTATCTTATTCGACAAATTTTTCCACAAAAAAAGATTATGATGTCAACAACAACCTCTGAAATGGGGTTAATTTAATTAATTTATAAACTAATAGTAATAATTTATTTAGTCATCAAAAATTCAAAATGATTAAAATGATTGTACTTGTGATGTAATATATATGTTTTATTGATCTTTTCTAATTATTTTAATTATTTTGATTCGTCAAATTCATCGATCAACCATACTTAGAATATTTTGCCAAAACGGGGATTGAAGTCCATATTGATTTCATATTGATTTACAATAAGTATGATAAACGAGCAATTTGACTAAATTTGACTTTAATCATAGCATCTGTAATAAAAAGAAAAAAGAACAATGTTAATATTTATTTTCTTTTTTTTTTTTAAAAAAAAGGGAAGAAAGAGAAATGTCATTACTAAAAACAACTTACCTTTGATAACCCAACGTATCAGTTTCGTTTCATGTTTCTTGATCATCATTTAAAGAGCGTGCAATAGCGGAATGCAATGTATTAAATATAAAGTAGACGTTTCATATCACGATAATAATAATCGGGTCTATTGCAGTAAAAAAGACGGAACTGCTAAAAAACGAAAAAATTGTTTAATACTAAACCTATTTTATTTTGAAAACATATTTGATATATTTTGACATATTAAAGGTTTCTTTTTTGCAGTTTCCTTACTACAAAGTATTTATATGTTTCAAATAAGTGCATCATAAGACGAGCCATTATAATTTTCGTCTCAAAGGTAAAACCTTTGATGTTTCTAATAATAATGATGAAACGAATAAACAATAAGTTGTTTCATGAATTATTACATACTACATCATAAAATCATAAAGTTGAGTAAAAGATGCTCTGAATCTGTCTGTAGATGCAATTATCTGCAATGGACGCGATTATTGTGGTTATATACTTATATGGTTTATATCATATGTATCAAAATCATAATTTCTGATCGAAAACTTTGAAAACTTTGAAAACTTTTCGATTTGTTCATCTAAATGATCCATAAGACCATAACTATATAATTACGATCATATTCGCTGAATATTGTGGTATATCCACAATACAAGATTTTTTTTTTTTGTTAAAGTTCATAGAAAAGAAATAGATATAGTTGATAAACTAACCTCTGATTTTTTGTCAAAAAACTTTTTTCTTATTATTTTACTTTTATCATGATACTAATGTATACGCTTTAAATTCTTTCTTATTATTAATTCTTTTATAATTTGTATTATAACATTCGATTCTCCAAATAATCCAATATATTACAAGAATTATAAATTATTGTAATTATTGAACAAATATTTTCATAATATTTTGATTACTTTTGGGAAGATATAAATAATAAAATTCCCATGAAATTGCCTTTTTTAAATACAAATGAAGTTGTAAATAATAACTTTTCATGAAAATTATATAATTTCTGAAAATGATAATTTCTGAAAACGATAATTTCTGAAAACGATAATAATATGAAGGAATAAAAAATGTTATATTTAATTAAGGATAAATAAAACTCACGTAAATTTAATTCGAAATGAATGTTATGAAATGAATTTTTTTTAATAAAAATTTGAAAATTTGTAATTTTTTTTTTTGTGAACGAAACATTAAAATTATTTGAAAAAATTCAATTTTTTTGTTTATAAAATTAAATATTCCAGTTGTGATTCAAAATTCTAAAATAATTTTTTTTTTTTGTAATTTTCTCAATAATACGAAACTGTAGTATTTTGTTGACTCAGTCACGCAGAAGCGGATTAACAATTTAACACTGTATAAGATTACATAAAAGTATGGCTATACAAAATAAAACGTACGATTAAGTCATACATTAAAAAACTTTTGATGAATCACGTCAATATTGAATCAATTTCTATAAATTTAATAAGGTTTTGGAGGGTTTACAAAATCACAAAATCACAAATATCACAAATACCAATCTTATGACCAAGGGGCTTAATAGATAATCATCTTGCATAAACCCCTGCAGGTAAATATTTGTTGTTAAGAAATTTAACTGGAGGATTCTAAAAAAATTATAAAGAATGGATTAGATACCATTCAAAATACTGTACACACAGATATTATAGTTCATAGAACCATTGTTTTTTAAATTCAATTTGATAATTATCTTGCTATTCCCTGAGACCCTGCTGTACATCAGTAAATCACCTTTTATTTTTCTTGACCAAATCTTTTTTTTTTTTTTAGCCACGCCATTGTGTCTAAAATCATTTTTAAAATGAACAAAAAATTAATAATTTATTATTTATTTTAATTTGAATTAAGAACATTCGATAAAAATGAAATACAAACGACAATTTTAAAAAGAACCAATTAAAATATTATCAAGTATTTTAAATTGATATAAAAAAGGATATCATATTAAATAATTTGTCCAATGAAAATTTATCCGATAATAAAAAAATTATTTAAAATATCGTACTTACATTACATTTAGTTACTCAACAATGTGTAAATATGTCGAGATATGTCGTGAAATTCACAAGCCCTTAAGGGTGACACTAAAAAAAAATAAATTTGTTTTTTATTTGAACTATCATGTAAATAGATATAACCAGCTTTAGAGGTCCTATCTAATTGTCATAGTAATAACTTTATTAACAAATTTGTTAAGATCAACTGTAAATTTTTATTTTCCCGCGTAAAAAAGTATTGTATTATTATTATTATTATTTTAATCATTTCAGTAAATCCAAATGTAACGTCGTGCGCGCACAACTACACTTATTTATTAATTACGCCCAAATATCCCAATTATTTGAATTAATTATACATGTTTCATAACCAATGAAAATTATATCGTTTTTTTTTTTGATAATCATTTTGTCATTTTTTTTTGAAAGAAAGAAGCTCTTGGCATTTCGTGTATGAATAATTATAATTGTAAATGGTGGATTTTCTTCAGTGGCTTAGTGTCTAATATTACCATAACGAGTAAAATTGAAGTTATTCCATATCGTAAAAACTTGAATATTCTGAAACGTTGTTAAATTTTTTTTTTCATGAAATTACGAAATTATGCGGAGTTCAATTTCTTAAAATATTTTTTTTCTTTTGATCTAATCACGGATAAATTAAATTAAAAAATTTTTGGTTAAAAAAAAAAAATAAAAAATAAAGGGTGTAAGGATGTTCAAATATCATTTACAAATAAATGATCAAATAATAATAATTTTTCGGAAAAATTACGATAAATTTGGTTCATATTCTGAATATCAAAGGATTTCTCAAATTCGAAGATTCTTTAATTCTTTTTTTTTGATCATTGAATCATTTTATTTATTTTTTTTTTTTTAAAAAAAA